ACTTGTAGTTGAAGACTAAACCATTCGGTCACGAGCGACCACTCAGGAATGTGATTAGCTCTCAGTTAAATGGGATAGACCGGCGTCCATTCTCGAAACGCAGTATCCAAATTACGGGGTTATGCGTTGGTTGGCCCCTTGTTGGACGACGTCTTCGATGGAAGTTTCACCTATTGTGAGAATTATTCATCCTTCTGGGCTGTTTATAGTTTGGTCTGGGTTTGGTTCGCTGAGCTGGGCAATTTGATTGCAAACGTTTCATCACCAATCGAGGTGACATCATCAGTGCGTTATTGTGGAGCGTAGTAGTGCGTAGCGGTGGGTTGTTGGTGATGAAACGTTTGCAATCAAATTGCCCAGCTCAGCGAACAAGCCAACGACCACCATCTACGATACCTATTTGTAGTTTGTTAGTAGTATGAAGAGAAACATTGCACGGCTGTTTCATCCTTATTGGCAATCCTTGGCAGTGCCAGTCTCACTCGTCACTCATCACCGTCTCTCCCTCTGGGTCACTGACAATTGGTTTGCCTCATTCAGGAGTTTTCATCCTAGTAGAAGGTAGTTACCAACGTGAGCGAGTGAACTGGTTAGGAATTTGGTGCATCGTTGCCAAGTCATGGGCTGACCGCCTGTCCGATATATGACCGGGCGAACAAGGTTCTACGAGGCATCCGGTTTTCTCGCACACGAAACCAACGTCAGATGTGGTGTTTGAGCAGCTGATCTATCGGGACACCTTAAACTTTCCTGAAAAGTCTGCCCTACCTCAGCATTACTGATATGATGTCCTCTGCATACCTGTGCAAAGTTTCCGAGGCACCGATGGTAAGAAAAGGGAGCTCCCGACTGATTTCCACATCCCTGATCTATAAAGTAGAACAGATCGAACCGCAGCATTTTACAATGTACGCTGGATAGCCAATCTGATGTCGCTTTGACACCCTAAATGTCGCAGATTTGTAGATGCCGCACCTCACGCACCACCCCTCAAAAAAGGGAGGAATGATGTCTTTCGCCGGTCTCCCGGGACTTCATAGACGAACTTACCGAATAGGTTTATCGGTTCGGTTGTAAGCATTAGGTCTGGGTTCGATCCCGCTCAGTTTTTAGCAACACTTTCCACCTTAAATGTGCAGAGCGTATACAGAATCATTTCTCATCTCATGCGAATTCTAAAGAGTCATATCCAAGAGCAACAATACTGTGTACCTATTTAATGTCCATGAGCGAACACTCCCAGAGTAATTCGTTCCTCGAAGCGTTAGAGACATGTAAGGAGGACTCAAACAGCGCATAATTTACGACATTAAAGAGGAAAAATTGACAGATGGCACGATTATTTGACACCAACAGATATAGTGGACGCACGTGAATTCACATGGGAGGAATTGTATAGATTCTTTATAAGTGTCTGTAGACGTGAATGACTTTGTAAAGACTTCCAGTTTCAACAGAAGTAAGAGTTCTCGATGAAATGTCGATGAATGAAGCGGGATCTAAGTGGTCAGCAAAACTTATAATTTCCCAAAGAAACACTATCCTATGGTCAATAACTTTAGACGCAGTTTTATTTTTGTTTTGCTTTCAAATCGCATCATAAATGCGTGGAAATGTGATTGTTGGTCTGATTTTATCTAGCATGTTACATTCACGTCCTCTTAGACATCACAAATACGATCACATCCATTATTTTCAACCTTCCCCACATTCTACGGAAAGGAACTGACTTATATCAATTCCCGTTATCATCTTCAACTTTGTGTTCCAACCATGATTCGCCCAGCTTAACAAATTATGCTTCGTGACTTTTATGATGCCTGTACATCCTTTGAGACTACAAAGTGGAAGATGTTGTCCACTTAGGGACGCTAGTCTAAGTCACCGCATTTAATGATAAGTTCATGGCGGATCAGATGCCAAGAAAGAATGAATTTATCCGATATGGCTGTGGTGAAAGTCATCGAAGGAAGGAAGCTTACTTGAGTGGCGTTTGCAAATATCGATAGAATCGTGATAAAAAGAAGACACACAAAGATGAAACGCCTTCAGAAACTATTGAAGCATGTTACCTGGAATGCAAGTGAGAATGCCGCAAAAATAGTGTATATTGCCTATCGTACATACTTCACTGTCGCTGTAGTTGTTCTCCCACTGAGTGTAAATCAATTTCACGTCTTCAAGGCACGATTTATACGTGTGGATCACATTCACTTGGAGACATCTAAATAACGTCTTAATTCGACCCAAATTGTGATTTTCGTCGGGTCTGTAGCGATGACGGTACATCATCTTCCCGAACAGGGAAATTAAACACGGGATTTACTGCGTAATGTAATCACAGACCCAACATCGAATCGATTCATAGTGGCTTAAGGCTCACATGGCACAGTTTTGTGATCTTATCGGTCACAAATATTTGATGATCGTTCATGAACTAAATGGCACTTCGACAAGCTGTGCAAGACTCAATGAGTTATCCGAACCACGTGTATCTTCACCAGATTCTTTTATCAGCTGACCAAGTAGCCAGTGACATATCCACTTTTCATATAACAAATGAATTGGACCAAACTATGTACAGAATCTTGTGGTTCTATCCTTCAAAGCTTTCCACTAAGAAAGAAAAGCTAAGAGACGGTTTAGCCATCGCGTTTTCCTTCAGGATAACTTACTTGGTTTAATTTGCTAATTGATAAGTTCCAAATTTTAACCATCTTGAAATAACAGAGGTTACCTTCATTTTTACTCACTCTGAGGTGGAGTAGACTAAGACGGTTTTCACTGCTTTGGCGGCAGTCAGGCAGAATTAAAGATTATACAGACCGTTTAGAAACTGCAGTTACCACTCCTGTTATTGCTAGTTTAACTGCTGTCTCCTAGGGTAAAGTTTGGCACACATGTCAAAATACAATTCCTTTGACTTATCGAAGGAGTCGGGCTATTTACTCTACTGTGCGGAAAGTTCGTTGTACAACTTACATTTCCACCCTTCTATCTATCAAACATGTTCAGGAATCAGTTGTTAAGGGAGGCGGGTGTATCTACTTTTAGCGCAACAATTGTGTTCGAAAAACGGGAATACCTGTGGATATCTCATTCATACAGAAGACAGCTTTGTGAGTGGTAGTTATTCGAGACTTTTTCACGGCTAGTTTCAGTCGTTGCTTTGTCAAGCAGTTGACATATGGACGAAAAATGTGATAACTAGTGAAATACATGCCAATTTAGTTTTGACGGGAGAGATTCAGCTCGATTCCAGATGAGCCCCCCGTCAAAATCCAATCGGTATGCAAATGAGTGTATTTCGCTGACTTCGTGTAATTTGAGTTGAAGCAGAACATGAGGTTGACGGGAAGTCGGGAAAGGCGCCTACTTGTTAAGTTCCAAGATGAGCGAAACTGGTCATGGGCTATCGAAGAGTTTCCAGCAACTTTATGAGTAGCGTATTACGTCTATACCAAGTAATAACCACTTGGCCCATCATCCCAATCAACAGTAACATCCAAAAAGTAATAGGATGCCTTATAATTCCGTCAGGATGACGGCTGTATTCACCTGCCTGTTTGAATTCTCGAGTAAAGTTCATTAAATTAAATTTAAACCAAATAGGGAATACATACAGTTAAACTTTACATTTTAAATTGATCCTTTAAATTTGCACTATGGCATGCAGATTAGGAGTGTAGAATTGGTAAGGTAAATGCAGACCGTAGTTGAAAAGGAGCAGCGAGTCGCCCCATCCTCATCATCACCATCATCACCAACATCATTACTCCTCTACATTAACAAAGACTGTATGAGCTTCCAAATGTAAGCATACTTTTTCAGTCGATATTTCGTGATGCGCCTCAGATCAATGTATGCTGAAAGGGCACTTACTTAATTGTTCTGCGTCATGAAGATTGGCTTATGGAGAAAGGTAATTCAGTTCTAAAGGTGGACTGGGCGAAATGAATTCTTCTGAAAATGCATCTACTCGAACGTTTTCTTCACTTCACCTGTTTAATGTAGTAGGGTTTGACGTTGATCGCTTGAACAGGCAACGAATGAAATATAATATCTATGCTTTGTTTCAGTAAACACTTGTTTCGTGTGTTCTCCCCACCTGATAAATGATCTCTTCATACTTGTCTATTGTTTGGGCGTCTCTAATCGCGTTGTTCTACACTTTTCGCCATCAGAAGCGCAGCCGACACCAAGATTTCACAGACGAAGATGCCGATGCTGATCTAAAGCACATGGAAACTGAGGTGTGGAAAGTGGAAGATGAGGTGAGCGGCTACCAAAATTTAGTTTGATATGCTGCTAAAATATGGGTGGAAATGTGCGTTATTGTTTGAGGGTGATGAAAAATGCGATCGTTATGTTTTCAGTCCATAGACAGTTTCCTTCGAAGAACGATGATTTCCTAGGTAATCCAAAAAAGTGTAGGTTTCCTCCAAGCTACGTGACAATGGTTATCGACGCCCTCAACTGGCCGACCAAGTGGAAGACGCGAAGTTCGCTGGAAACGTTAGTCATTGTGAGCTCGGCACGCCACCACGTTCTCTTGTTATTCTCTTACTACTGGAATTTGGATAGTAGTTGTATAATTGTCCAATTATAGTTGGTTGTTGGGCTTGTAGAATCGCACCACCACCAATTGAATAGTTGTCCTCCTCCCCTGGCCACCTTGTTCTTGTGACAGAGGCAGAGGGATGACTTTTCAAGCAAGAGTGATGTTAACGTGAATTCTTCACATCCCGAAAACCTAAAACTACCTGACTTTTCAAGCAAGAGTGATGTTAAAGTGAATTCACATCCCAAAACGACCTAAAAGTACTCAAAAATTGTCCAGATGGTTTCAAACATCCGTCGCAGTTACTAGGATGTCCTGATAGCCGGGCCAGTCAGCCGGCACAAACAGTTCGTTTACTGGATCGTCGTTCGAGGTGTCGACAAACAAGTCATATAGCTCAAACGTGAACAAGTCCGCCTCTTAAGACGTGGAAATTCAAATGTGTCCACCGTACGCTGCTGGAGTAGTCGTAACAAGCTTACCTCGCATCTCAGATATCCGAAGTTCAAATCGGGGCACGGTCAAGGATATGGAATGCTGATGATCTCTGATAAGATTACTACTTGAGTCCGGCGTTCCCTTCTTTGGTGTGAACGCACCAAAATAATTTCGCCCAGACGGGGGAACGACCGTTCAAACGATAGTGATGTAAACGTGAATTAGCTCAGTGGCGACTAAATTAATTCGCACTTCAGGGAGAAGTGAGCTACAGTTTGTTTAACACTGTCGAAATACTTCCCTTGCTTTAATGTTGGCTTTCGCTTACGTTTATATTGATCTCAATCAGGCTTCCTTGGACGCGCTGTCGAAGTTGTCGTTGCAGTCCGGCTCCATTTCATCTGTCATATCAAACAAAGTAAGAAGAGCTTCTTTCCACTTTTGTTATTTTTTTAATGAGAAAAGCGAGTTCTTGGTGCCATATCAGTCTAAACCGGTCTCTGATTACCGGCAGAATTCTCATCTGAATAAGGAAGTTATTCGTTTGACAAAGTGCTGGTATCACTCCCAGCGATCCTGGTAATTTTTTCCTCGCTGGTATGATTTTTGTTGTTTGCAGCTGAAGCAAATAAAACGATCACCCTTGGCCCGGATGCTACGGATGAATAGACCGGAACTCGCATTCATTGTACTTGGATGTTTATGCTCGGCTGTTTCTGGTGCGACACAACCAGTTTTCGCGATTCTGTATTCGCAGCTTTTTGAAGTGAGTTGGCGCACAACGAATATACGATAACCTACTGCTGGTTGCTTCACATTACCATTATTGTCAGTTGTTTAGGCGTTTGTAAAACAAAATCTGTCATCTCTCAAACTTGTTGGCTACTCATTCAGTGCGATGGTCATTTGCATAACAAACTCATTTGCAGGAGTAATATGCAATCAGCTGTTGCGTACTGCGCATGCGGAAGAATCAGGATTAACATGAGAATATCCAACCTTGATCCAGTTAAAACTGACGCCGCGTGTGTACGACGTTGCCAACACCACACTGCGGACATTAGGTCACCATGTGTTAGTTCTGGTTGAATCCCAGCTATTTTATGTCCGCCTTATAAATTGTAGGGCAACTGGGCCCGCATTCTAGCCCTAGACAACCATTGGGGAAACTGTTAGGAGGACCGGCTCCGAACGTAACGGGATTATATACCTGCCAATGAAATAACCGTTTTCGTTGAAACAGATTTCATTGGTTGTTCTCTACTCGTCATTGACAGATAAGTTGTATTCTCAGTATCACTTTTGACCGCTTATACACGACTTTGATCAATAGAGCAGCTGGCTCGCACGTTCATTGGCTTTTCCGGTTTGGTTAAGCGCACCAGGCCATGAGGCAGCTATCCAGACCGGGGTTCACGGTAATAAGCAGGCATTAAGGGACTGTGGTCCACAACAGAAGCCTTTGAACCTTGGAATGTTTCTTCAAATTGCTGATTGCGCCCTAAAAAGCAGAATAGCAATCACTCACTCGAGAAAATGAACCACATGATAATGAAGCAGCAGATAAACGAAACGTCACTCATAAGATTTCTGGAAGATCTCTGATAAACAACGAGGGGTTTCACCCTGCTTAGAACACATCGGGTACGCATGACCCCGATTCCAAGTCAACTATGTTCTTGAACCCAAATTGTGCGCAATCCTCGAAACAAACCCCATCACAAACTAATTTAGAAAACTCACATGAATCCCAGTCATGCCACTCTTCAACTAAATGTGCCACATAGAGGCTGCTTTATACTTTCGTTTGCATGGTTATCGAGATATCGCGCAATATTTTCATTAAGGAGCGAGAGACTCAGCTGGAATTAGGCTGTGTCTTTCGTTACAGCCCACTTAGTTTGTGAACGAATGAAAGAGAAGACACTTGCTGCCCTCCAAGAAGAAACTTTCATTCAAAGTGCCCTTCCCTGTAGTTCATTACTGGTAGACTTCCAAGTGATGATCGACGTTACGTACCTTCCGATGAACTATTCCGCAGTAATATAAAAGTCAACTTGAATGTACTTCAATTCGCTTTGCTAAGAATGTACATTACATACCGCTGTTCTGGAAGTGTCGTATTGCAATGCAGACTGAAGACAATGAGTTATGAAAAGCAGTAGCTTACGAACTTTTGGAACTTGTTTCGTTCTTAGTAGTGTATTGTCAAGTTGGATCTTTTCAATAAAAATTATCCAGTTTTCCTACGACGAGCACACTCAGTTGCATATCAGTTTGGTTTTCACGGGACAATTAAGTGAATTTCTCGTTCAGGATATTCTTCAATAATTGTATTTGTCGGTATCAGTCCCATTCGCGTTCGAGTAAAACATAAAGTTGACGGAGATTCGGGGACCGCGCCTACCTGATGAGCCCCAAGAATGGCAAAACCGGTCATGGGCTGTCAAAACGTGTTCAGCAAACTTGTGAGTAGTTTCCTTTATAAAAATCTGGTTTCCTTCTTCTTCGAGTTAAGCCGGGGACAAGAAATTACTAGTTTCTGTAGTGAGCTAGTTAGTCATGCTCTGGAGTCATCACACCTTAGTGATATACGCGTCACATAGATCTAACGTTTTTCCTCTGATCGAAGATATACATTCTGTGACTTCCTTGTATCATTTTCAAACAGCCGAATCTAACTGGGGTGCTGTTATATCCTAAAAGGAAAAACACCGATGGGAGGTCTATTGTATCCAGAAACTCCAAGAAGTGTTAAGTAAAGACGTCAATTGCCATTACTTTGTGGATGTCTCTCGTGAATAAATCCTCACCCTATTGGGACAACAGACATTTTTGTCAGTTGCGAAGACAACTCGATGCTGCAGTCTGCCAAGAAAAAGTTGCGTCAACAAGACGGAATTTTATGCTCTTCATCTAATGTATGCGAGCTAGCTGTTGCTCCTCTGTACGTACATCAGGATACATGCATGATTCCAACCAAATTTTCGTTAAAATTCCAGCACATGCTTTTCCGGGATGACCAATGGAATAGTCCGTCTGATATTTTGGAAGATACTTAGTTCAAACATCACGTGGCGACGTTTGCATCGAAGCACTGGTTGTAAATTAAGAGTAGGAATTTCGACTAGTTTGTAGCCAGCATGATCCTTCCAATTTTTCGGATGGTTCAAGTGGAAACGTTGTGGACCCCAAGTTACGGAAAAGCGGGTATGATACCCATATTCCTGAGAAAATAATCTGCAGTTAAAATGTCATAACAGATGCATCCAGTGGTGAATTAACCTGGTATTTGGTCCCTATGTTCATTCATTGCTCCCATCCCCAAAAAATTAGGACAAAACGAACCGCTTGGCTTGAGTGGATTTTAAAGAAAAATGCATGGCACCGAATATAAATCTCCATAATTGACAAATCCTCATATCACTCATACCACACATTCCGTTTGAGTTCTCGTAGACCCATTCATGATAAAATAGGCCGAGATGGAGTCAGAAACTCTCTCAGTAAAACGCAGACGTCGTCTGTAGTCTTGCCTATGCCAAATGCCTTGTATAAAACAAAAGGAAATCTCTACAAAATGATTTCCTGTTCTTTCACTTACAGATCTTCACACTGGTGAACAGCCCGCCGTTGATGCGCGAGCAAGTGCGTCTTATCTCAGGTCTGATGGCAATGGTTGGTGGCCTTCGATTTTTGGGGACGCTAGGCGAGGTGAGCCAGTGACACCTGGGCCAGTGGTTTACGATATCAGACATGCACCGCATCATTTAGTCTATCTTTGTTCTTCATCCGTCTGTTGAGAAACAATCGAATATCACTGGGAAAGAGAATTGCAGTTACCCCTAACCGAATGCATCCCAATAGACAGTTCTGATTAGTCTATAAATTCACTACTATCTTGACACAAGCAAGACCATTTCGTAGTCGGCTTCGCGCAGCGAAATCCACATGTGTCTTTTGCTTAACTTAGCGCCTAACCGATCTTGAGTGCTCAAGTTAGAAAAAGTTTTCACGAGCTTCTATTTTCCATTTTCGGTCGAATTAGGTGGACCGATCGAAATATCATGCAACATGCTGTGGAGGCTTGTGATGCTAGGTACACCAAGTTAGGTTAAAGTGTTTGAATTATTGTGATGAACCCTGGTAGTACAGTTGAGGTTTTTCTACAGGCAGCTCTTGTGATCCGATCAGGGTGGCCTTTTCTTGGAGGGAGGTTCACTTTTCATGAGAAGCTAGACCAAATCCATAGTTTCATGTTGACATCCAATAAACCTCAAGTAAACTATAAATTTTTCGAGATATCCGTCGTCTCTTCATGTTTTGCGTTATTCCGATTGGCATATCATTCTTTTACGAAAAGTAGTAAACATCAGATACTATTAGGCATTTAAACGCCTAGTTTGTGTACTTCGTGTACTCGATAAAATAGTGAATTTGTGAATATCACTCGATAAATCAATACTGGTGAAGTTGTCCGCTGTCACACTTTGATGGCTGGAGTCATTTCAAAAGTAACACCAGTAAGTCTCACCTGTTAATCTTGCGTGCCACCAAACTTCACAGCAATATTCCAAAATAGATGAAAACATCGTTTTCGGAAAGGCTTGGTAACTTTTCCGAAAACGATGGCTGCTCAATCGGTTCAAAGCGTTTGTCAGCTAGATCGAAATAGCTTCATTTGTTCACATCTTTACATTTTGTGCCCAATTAGGCTACCAGAATAATTGATTTGCGCCTGTGATGAATCCATTTGGAAACAGGTCTGAAGGTGACGCTGTCTGAACAGGATTTGTTTTCAGTGAAATTCTGTATCTCGAGGCTCGAGGAGACATTCGTGGACACGTAGGCCAGCACGCTTCATTTCCAAATGAATTGAGGCGAATATGATTCACGAAAGACGTTTCAGTAGGCAAAAAAAGAAGCGTCTTTTGGCCTCATTATTTCTGGGCTATAATACAATCTCCACTCTGCTAACAGCTAACAGTCCTATATTCAATCGTATCTCGAAAAGGCTTTTCAACCAACTGAGCAACCTTCGTTTGAAGGGCAGGATCTTTGTAATTCTCACGAGATGATCCTCTAGGAATCTAGTCTTCTCGTCTGAATACACAGGTACGTGACCATTCTTTCTCCGAGTGGCTGAAAGTGCTTGATTTCCGATGTTCGTGGCCTCTATGAAAAAATCGGATCAAGTAATGTAAACGTCAAACTCCATGGTACTTCACTTGGGACGTCAAGTAATTTGCTTGAGCACACAAAAGCCACGTGGGACCACACTTTTTAAGGAACATTCGGCTGTCAAGATCACTAGCAGGTGTCAAATCCATGTACCGAAAGTGAGTGGTAGAGCTTCGCTTGATTTTTAAGCGTTCTTCCTCGCCGTATTTAAAGAGAAACCAATTGCTAAACCAAATAATGTTCGTTTTTAACGATTTCTGAAGAATCGTAGTCTCTTTCTTTGAAAGTAGTATGTCCCAAGTTGTCTAATTTATCCCTCTGCTCTATCTTGGAAAGAAACAATAGATTCGGAAGTGTTCTTGGTAGGTTTTAAATCCTTACCCGCAGCTCCTTCGCAGAACCCTCACCACTCATGATATAATTCGCAATTTAATACTTCTTCGGGAGGGAACTTTGACCAACCGCCTATGTATGTAACTGCCAATACAAACGTATTTACTCCAAACAGCCATGCAACAAAGCAATGAAGTTGATGAACCTTATAAAGCGCTTCTTGTTAGAGCCACTGCATTGCTGTCACTGTCACTACAACACACAGCAGGTGCAGCATGTATTTGTGATTCAAGGATGATGTGTTATTCAACCTAACCATTTTGGACATTCAGTAACATCTTGTCTGGTTCAACAACTTCTGGCGTTAAATTCCATTATACGAGAAGTTGGTCATGCCGGTACTTTACCACGTTTGATTGCACTGGCTTCCTGTAGCTGGCTTCAGCCAAATTAATCGAGTAAACACGGTTGCATTGATCCGTCAAACCAATAGGAACGGCTTAGTTGAAAAACCTCTTGAAAAACGACTTGCAACTGCTGCAACTCAATTATGAGAGTCCGCAAGCTAAGTTATACTGAAAATGGTCCACTTGGGCATACTACGGCAGTCTGATCCAGTTTATACCCCTCTCTGAAGTGAAAAGATCTCAACCGATAAAGCTTCGTGTAATTACGCACATCTCAAATTCCGTGTGGCTCATGATGGTCTGATGCGCCAAATTTACCACCAAAAGTTGTCGTAGCTCTCTTAAACACGTGCCAAAAGTTACCTGCAAATACATGACGAACGCTTTCATGGGAACATGTCTCTTTTAATAGTACAATTGATAACAGATGTTTTCAAGCTTGTTAGCTATTGCAAGAGTAACTATGTCCGCGATGCAAGGATTCGGACACCCTGATGCTAGAATGCAGGACAGCTTTGTGTACAACAGTGTTTTGCTAGTCCAAATTAGGAGGGAACTTATACACAACTGTTTATGTTGGGGACTACGTAGCGACCTCCTAAAAGTTATTCGTAAACTGCAGTAAAACGTTAGTCAACAGAGTTTAAAGAACAACACCAGTTTCACCAGCTTTATTCAAAATCCCTAATAACTATGATGCATTGGGATTTCAGTGAATTTCCTTTTGAAACTACCCATGGAGGGCTTCTGAGGCCCCCACAATGTTTCCATGTGCAACACGAAGTACGAAGCAAAAGCTTCTTCTGTTGTCTGACTTTATATTCGTTTCATATTTACTTTTAACAGGGGTATTTCTTTGGTATGTCAGGAGAGCGCCTCACGCAGCGGCTCCGAAGTCAGCTTTTCAAGGCCATTTTGAGCCAAGTGAGTGTAGCACACAAAGCCACCGTTTGATTAGCAAGTTCTTTATTCATTTTTTTATGCGAGCTATTCTGCACCATATATGACCATTCAAGAGTTTCTGTAAAGACCGGACGCTTCCATCATTTTGTTGAGTCGCGGCAGGTGATTCTGATGTTGGTCTTAATTCGCCAGACGACAGGGCACGTCTTTTGTTCTCCATTCGAACCGGTGTATCAAACACCGACTTTCTACTCCACACTAACCACCGAAGGATTCACCGAATCACTCCACTTTAGAAAATCATTCAATTGAACCACTGACTACCATCTACGCACCATGACATTATCGTTGTACTTACATTTGATAGATTACCTTATCCCACCTGTTTTATGACCCTCGTTACTGCAACGACCCGATCACTTCTACTGGTGAATGGAAGAAGGCTTTCGCTGCAAAGTTAATGTTTATTAGAAAACACCAACAGTTACAGATATTAGACAGCGAAGCAAAACTGTCATTTGCATCCTGTTCATAAAAACTGAATACCTATCATCTCGAAAGCGTCCTCCTGAACTTTCCTGGATATTCATTGACTATTACTCAAATGCAGACGAACGCTACAAAGCAACTCCACAAACTCCGTAACAAATCTCACTTATCAATAGACGCGAAGCGGATTTGCGAGAAAACCGCATACTACTCGCACGCCTCATCATTAGTATCCACCGCTACACTGGTATCACTCCTTAGTAGTGTACTTGTCATCTTGGCAACCCTTCTAGAACAACCTATCGAAACCATCCCACTTGCAACACCTCAGTCAACGATAAATCAGGTGAACCGCTACTGCATGCGACATTTTTTCGTCTCTAACTCACCTTGTGACATCTTAATTTTCAATACACGTCCAGCACGGTAGACACTGTTTTGTGTCATTACAGGGCGGAATCCGTTAGTAGTGCTAGTCTAAACTAATTGCGCTATCCGTTCATGCCAAATTACTGCATATCATCGGTCAACTTCTTCAAATCCTCCCTTTACACTCAAAACCGTCACTGAAGGTTCGACCTGTGCTGAAGAGAGGTGAAGAGAACTGAAGAGAGGTGACCCGTGAATGCACCATTGAAAGAACCGGTTGCTATGACTCCCCTAGTTAATGTGGTGGGACGAATTTCGTTCTCACAGAAATAGCTATTGCAGTCCGCATCAGTTGATTGCTGCGATGTCTCCGTTGTCATCCGTAAAGCATAAGCCATCAGTGAGCGGCATTCACAAAAGAGAACATTTTGTTCGTGACCTTAATAAGGCGTCGGTTAATGTGGATATCACTTCTGCTGAGTGCAGCTCGTGGACTGTGGTGGATGTGATCAATGTGATGACGTTAGCAGTGGCTTACACTCTATGCGTGTCAAATGATTTCTGTCTTGTTGTGCGCTACAGTAGGTTTACACTCGTTTGATGTCAACGACCTTCATCAGTAGTTTGTTGATAATACGAGGGAAGTCCATCCATCCTGGAAGGCCAAAAAGCACTGTATAGCTGTGGTAGTTTCTAGCCTTACCGAAATTCCACGCCTGTTTCGTTTCGCTTACCCCCCAAGGCACATGACGGAATAAATTTTCGCGGGTAGTGAGGTACTGTTACAAAAAGAACTAATGGATTATATGCCAGAAACCCGTTTCTATTTTTCTTCCAAACAATACCACACAGGAGTCGGTCAATGACTTCTGAGAGGTCTCTGTGTGCTTGTTCACTGATTCTTTTCACATTAGACCAATTGGTTTTCTTTCTTGTACGAACCCATCTGCGTTGTCATAACGCTGTGCAGACGTCCACCTACCAAACTGCTGTCAATGGCCATTTGTAACAGAGGCCAGCCAACAATAGTAGTCCGGTCTGGCAACCACCAGCACTAGTACAGCTAGAGGTCGAATTTTGCATGACCTTGATGTGAGCAGCAATGAGCCAGAGTTCTGCATACACTGCTGTCAGTCACGCTTTACTCTTGACTTGTATGGCTTGCTGCATGTAGGATCCCGGTGATATGTTCATCGCATGTGGAATGGTAGTCAGCCATTTTCTTTCATTTTAGGACATTGGATGGTTTGATCGTCAAGAGAACCAGCCGGGTATTCTTACTGCAAGACTGGCAACAGAAGCGTCCAAACTCAAGTCACTCTCTGGATCATCACTAGGATTTATCGTTGAGGCTGGAGTTCTAAGTATCATATCCATTGTTGTGGCTTTCATCAACGGTTGGCAACTAGCATTACTTGTAATGGGATTTGCTCCAATATTGGTCGTTTCTGGAATGCTCCAAGTGAGTTGAAAACAGTTGTCCCTTATGTGACCCTGTTTTTTTTCTAATAAGTCTCATACGGGGTGTGAACGATCTTGTGTTAAAACCCGTTGTTTTGTAAGGGTGCAACAGTGAGTTTTTTTTATCGAACTTGCCGCTGAAGAGGTTCTGCATTGGTGTATCGGTTTCCACTAGCTCATGCCATTAATGATCTGTGTCCCTCCCTGTGTGAGGAACACACCCTTACTCAGACACCTTTGCTGTTGACTAAATAGCGAGACCCTACGAGGACAACCTCTAGACAACAATTGTCTGACAGTCCAGATTATTTTTCCGTAAATACGATACAGTTTCAAACGCTAGTTATCCCTAGTTATCATCAATCAAATGTATTGAGCAGAAGTCAAACGGTGATTTCTACTGGTTCACCAGGAAGACAATCCCTTTCTGCTTACCTCGTCCCTCCGTTGTGGACCTGATCACCAACCTTACCAATGAGAAGTGCTCAGATCCTTGCTGTGTTTATCACTGTGATCATTCGGTGAACTCGCATTTCTCCCCGGATTAACCAGTGTCAGTGAATCACTGCACAGGACGAATACTAACAGGTTTGATTCTTACTGAGCCACGTATGGAACCAACGAAACGAGACGAGTGAACACAGCCTCTTGAGTTCCATCAAGTATGCAATTTATGTTGAGCACTTCTGTGACATGTTTAGACCCCACTCGACATCAGAATGAGGAAGTAATATTTTTGTCTAATTCCCCATCCTGATGCTGATCATATCTAGTGCAAATGAAGTGTGGTACTACTTAATTTTTTAACTCCTAGAACAAAATAACGTTACCCTGGAGGTAGTTCTAAGCACTCATTTAACTCTTCTTGACATTACATGACATGACTAGTGTCTTATAGTCACCGAAAGCCTATTTTCCTGCACACAAAGACGGATTTCCATTATAGCATTCTTGATTCACTACTTCAGCACAATAAGTAGACACAAGTTCGTTGTACTCGCTTCCTAGCACCACTAACACATGCACAAGCAATTCCTCGTGAGGTTTCGTTTTGTTGTGGGAATTGATATTTGCCCACTTACCAACACTACTTATAAAGTTGGCGAAAACTGTCCGACAGCCCACTATCGAGCTTGACCTTCTTGGAACTCATCAGATAGTCCCCCGAAATTACGTTAACCTGATTCTCTGCTTCAACACCGACTTGGTGAAGTGCTCTCGTTTGTATTCAGCTGGGATTTAGTTAACTATCCCAACTGGATTCTCATTTCACCAGTTTCGTTCGATTTCATGTTCGAGGAGAATATAAGGTTAGCGGAAACTCGGGGACCACTGAAACATGAGGTGGCCTTTCTACAACATGCTTAGTTGAAGAATGCCGTAGATGGGAGATTCAACTAGGATTCATTTGAGTTCCCCATTAACCCCAATTCAATTTGCAAATGGGTGCATTTCACCTATGCCTTTTTTCTTCATGTTCCAAAGCTCTCTGAATATTACTTGGAGCTCTTGCTTTCGGCACGTACTACATCTTGTTGTAAATCTCTGATCCGGATAGTTATTTGCTTTTTGCTTGGCTATTTCCTGGGATCTGCATGATAGATGTTGTGATTCATTTTTCCATTGAATGCACCCATCTGTTTCTCGCCTTCTTCCCGAGCATTTATATTGGTATCATCCACTGATAAGGCTTGCTTCGGATAAAGTCACCAAGTATTTGTTTGCAGCGCAGGAACACTGCACTTGGTATGTCTCTTGGAAACCTTACAACATCCCCGCATACTGTCACACAAAGCCTCACTAATAAACCACAAAGTGGGATTTTTTAAGCGCATCATTTGTACATACTCCCAAGGAGATGTCCGGTCCATCAAATCTAGATACCAGTAGTATCGATTGCTGAGAAATTCAACGGTGCTCGATACTTTGTCTTCATGCCAGATTCACGCTATATCTGCTGATTCGCCAATCTGTTGTATTTGACTGCTGACCCGCTCCAGTGCCTACTGTCGGAAAAGGACAGAAGAAAACACAACAGCTATATTCCGAACAATCAAGTGCGAGAGCGTGAGTGCGTGCGAGTGCGAGTGGAGGGACACTGTCTAACTGGACCCAATGCTGACGCACACTGTCTGCCCTTGGTACGAGGCTGCGACGCGCTGCATATTGAGGGGTGTTCTCTGTCTGGTCAACATCTAACGGAGCTGAGAGTCTCAGCAAATTTCGGGCATTTATTGGTTGCTTTCAGGCATCTGGCCTTCATTCTAGATTCCAAACAACCGAACCACGACCGTTGAGGAAACCAGCTTGTTCTTCACGGCTTACAAGTCAATACGTTGAAGACAGCACGAAGGTAGTTAAAAACGCTTGAGTCATAGAAGCGACAAATGCCAGGCTAACCCCGTGGTGGTTCGAACGTTTCAAGTCCCGGCCTTTTTTCAGGTCGAAATTTCGAATGAGCTTGATCAACTTTCAGATTTCCCGATCTTGGGCTAAAACCCATGGAAACGTATCCATTAACTGACCATACGTCTCTCTTCACATATTATACGGCGGCTGGCACTCCCAGGGAACGTGGTTTTCCTATTGGAAGGAACAGCTTCACGAACATCTTGTCGATCGGACAAGAAAACAAAAGACAATCGAGGAGGACGGTCGGCAGATTGAGGTAATTGGGACTTGAGCTTCAAAGGTCCAAGGTGTTCTTCTGGCTTTCACAGTCAGCTGAAGGCAGCCCGCTGAGTTTAAGAGTGGCTCCGCTGTTATGCACAGCCAATGCCCGGTAAAGCTGATAAGCTTCAGTAAACGGTGACTGCCCACGGTTGTTCAAGTATATCTCATCTTTTCAACTTGTGCGCCCCACTGTACCACCCTATTCGTTTTCCAAACTCTGAGCGAGCATCGGTCTAACTTCTCGCTGTGCTCGGTTGTGAGTTTTTCTCTCTGATATTATTAGGTGAATAATCGATCAATACCACGAAGCCTGCTGAAATCCGTAGCTCATTCCTGCAGTTCATTGTTTTGGCGTCAAATATTTTAGTAACTACTCCCGAAAACTCACATCTCATAACATGTCACTTATGAATGACCTCACAACTTGCATAAAGTTTGGTTAGCACGAATGCGACCCCAATTCTTCCTTCATTCCCGTCTAGGCTTGAAAAAGGCACTCGTAGATCTATCCTCATGCTTAGTTCTCAATTTGTCGAAATATAGTTAGCTCGGGTGTGGTTGATTAACCACCAGTCATGTTTAGTTCGCTTTGCATGACAAGTTGAGATGGAACATTATCAAAGCCGGTTGATCTGATTTGATTTTTGGGCTGTAATTTCTAGCAGTCTGTCGACAGTAAGAACTCGTGCTGATCGTCTGTCAACTATACCACTCAGTTACGACAGTGAACCATCCGTGTTGAATACTGTCGACGATGACGATGAGACCACCCAGTCGGAGTTAGCCCACCAGACAGAAGGAAAAGATTTGTATCAACGCGTACGTTGTCTCCCGAGGGCGGTCTATCTTGGGATGACCGCGTTTGAAAGCCTCCTAAAGGGTGGCCTTGTAAAGCAATTAGGATAAACGTCGTTGATGCTTGGTCGTTTTATGATGAGACCGCAAGAGAACCCTCAGCTTAAAAGGCAACACTGCTGTAAACCTAATTCAATCAACTGTATTTGTTGTGATACTGCTCAGTGAGTTCGTGCTCACTAGCTTTGTCTGATACACGTTCCAATTTTCCTTCCACCCCCATCTTCGTGGTCCCAGGTTAAGAGAATGCAGGGTGGAGATGGAGCTTCGGTTAGTTTGTTCGCCATGAAAATCGCACAAGAAGCTTTGAGCGCAGAAAAAACTGTGTTCGCTTTCAATCTGGAGGATTACTTTTACAAGCGGTTCAAAAATGCCTTGCAGAGCAATCTTAAGTAAGTCGTTGCATTCGTCCTTCCCATGTTTCGATAGACTGGTTAATTTTCTCTTGAGTATTTGATTCCTGGGCAGATTCAAATCAGTGCCAAAGGTTAACTGTTTGTTCTATGATCGATGTTGTGGGGTGATTGCTTTTTATCTTCGGTCACTCAAGTTGTGTCGTTTGGTCAATTGTCGCCCGTTTCCTTGAGTCAGCCTATACTGAGACGTGCGTAGTTATTTCATTTTTGTTGAGTATCTTCAGCAGTGTTATGCTCCGGAATGAAGAATCACGTAAGACACATGAGCTGTCTAACTGATAAGTCGGACAAGCGATTCGCACTGCGTGAGTTGCGAATCTGTGGGGCCACGTCTGATCTGTGAGTGAATCAAACACTTTGGACCGATTGCTAATTGAATTCACCAGGCTGTTAGAAGCCACTCACTTCGGCTCACGATGGTCAAGTGTGCGCTTGAACCGATGAGACCACAGCAGAAGAAAGTGAATCCTGGTCCTTTTCAGAAACCCAACACACATTTTGTCCCGATTCATTAAAAGACTGACCAGCAGTCTTCACAGTTGACTGCAACACAACGTGACTGTTCGGCAAATGTGAACTGAACTGACTGCTTGTTGCAATGGATTTGCCGCGCACTTTCATCACTTGAGAAAATCGCCTGCCATTTATTTTTACGCATTATAAGCACCAATTCAATAAGGTTTGGATTTTGATATGGTTGTTATGGCGGCGATCACCTACACGTTTCCGTTTGCTCAGAATCAGCAAGTAGGCGATATCTCTTGTCCTGCTACGTCCAGTTCACACATACCAGTCAGAACGAAAAGCATACTGGATTGCTTTGCTGTTCCAGTCAAACTGCTACTACTATCCTGAATATCCTGAATTCCAGATGTCGTTGACTTGCTACTTATCAGATCTCCGCGAGGACCAAAAAACCTAAGCAGTGTCCGTTTAACTCTTTCAAAACTTCTCAACTTTTTATCTTCAGCTCTGAAAACTAAGTCATACATCGTATCGGTTGCAGCAGTCATGCCTGGATGTTTTTCACACTAGAATATTAAATCCGGTTTCATCTGAAAAGTAGGCGAGATGGTTAGCTTTATGCCATCTCCATAAATTCGAGCAGAAACTCCTGCATACATTGTGACCTATTGGGCACAAGTAGTGGTTCGAATTCGAGTTCACATACTCTCAAATAAACTGCATTCTTTATTATTGGAACACATTATCCATGACTTGTGCAGACTGAGGTTGTATAGCTTTTGAAGAGACACCGAAAGCTGCGATTGATTTATCGCCACAGTTTCTGTGCTCACAAAGTCCGTCAGTATAGATTAATCTTCAGGATTCACTGGCACAATATAACAGGATAGTAAACGGTACTTTGGAATTAGTGTGCTAGGGCGTGTTGCAGGCTTTACTCGGTTGGTTTGGGAACGTGTCTCGGTTTCGTCAAACCATTTACTTGGACAGCTGTCCCAGTGTTCTGAAATAAACCCACATAAGTACAGGTTTGTACTGGCATTCTACGTATCACCGCCACTACAGACTAACTGATAGCCAACATGTAAGATAGTAAATGCAATAAATGTTGGATTTCTGGGATTACTCTGACTTGGGAGCAGGAAGTTGCCTATTGATAAACACACTCTCTATGTGGTGGGTCAAGTAGTGTCTGGAAATCGAAGTTTCATGGCTGTCCTTCGTTTTTGCTGGACGTATTTCATTGGCTCTTGGCTTGAAGTTACTGTGGACGAGTGCGAATTTCCTGGTCTTTCTCAGTTTTCTACCGCCACTCTGGTCAGGAAAATGATTACAACACTGTAATTTTACTAGACAATCATTATGCTAAGGCTCTACATTTGAACACCCAATTATGACCATGTATCCCATTGATCAGTAAATCGGTTCTTCTCCTTTCTTTCAGATCCGAACTCAAAGACAACTTGGTCACTTCACTGGTGTTCGCATTGACTCAATCAATCATGATGTTTTGTTTCGCTGCATCGATGTCATTGGGCGCATATTTGTTGAGTCAAAACAGCCTGACACTGGTTGGACTATTCAGGTAAGCAGTCAGAGTCCCATGTCCATTGAATGACGGCTAGTCGTATCTTCATTGCCTAAACTTTCTCTCCAGACTAGCGAAGTCAACAAACGTTTAAATATGAAACTGGTTTTGCGTCACTTATTTACGCATTCTGAAAGCAGCTGTCAACTCAAACAATTCATGAAAGCTGTATTAGTGCATGGTTTGCTCGGGTGGACAAAACCGCAAGTATCCTCTCAGTTTAATGAATTAGTGATGGATTTCTGGGTTTCACCTAACTAGTGGAAACCTATGTTTGTGATTCGTACGGAATATCCTTTCTGTTTGTCTATAGCTACTTGCGCCACTTGTGTTCTATTAGCTGAATATGTGTTTCAAAGTACTTAGCGTCTAGTGCAAGATAGAACACCATTGTAAAGAAAATATCCAATGGTCCACGAAACAAGCGTGAAAAGCATTCAAGTGAATCATTGCCTTGGTGTAGTTAGACTTTGCCACCGAATGACTGGTGCCGCGCTTAGCCTTTGCAGTATCCGTTTCTTAGTAGCATCCGATAGAAGATCACTCGTATGCCTTTGTATGATTTCAGAGTCTTCATCGTTCTAAATATGAGTTCCCAGTCACTTGGTCGAACTGCATCAGTTGTACCGGAACTAACTGCAGCAACAAAGGCAGCCAAATCGATATTTAGCACAATGGATCGAATTCCGCATATCTTGACGGACGCGGGTGAAAAACCAACTGAACAGTTCACAGGCCAAGTTGAGTTCAAGAATGTGACGTTCACTTACCCCAGTCGTCCAGGCACGCGGATACTGAAGGTAGGTTATAAGAGAATTTCCTCGTGGTCTTTTTAATACAATGATGGATTTCCACAGATTAGTTGAGCTACAGGAATCCGGTAGAATTGGCATATAATCTATCAGGAGAATGCCGCGTCTCGAATAAGTTCCAGAACACTTGAAACCATATTTCCCCCAATCAGCGGCACACATTTTGATACCCATATCTTTTATCCCGCTAGTCGGGCTTTAGTTTGTCAACATCCAAATTTACTTACATCCTGTGCCAATTTTGGTAAACTGATTACTCAATTTGACCGCACTCGGCATCTGGGCGTCTCCGATACAAGACGTATTGATAATCGGACTTCTAATGTGTGTTCAGTGTTCCGACGGTCATTTCGCAGAGCCAATCACACTGACGGCAATCTCCTCGGAAGCACTCAGACTCCTTCGACTGAATTCTGGAAAGGAGCTAACCAACTTTAACCTGACGTCCCGGCTCAACTCGTACCATTACTTGAGAATTAATGACGCTCAAAACCGCAGCATTTTTACCTAAAACCGCATTTGTTAGGAAGTTTGCTCGGATATAACCTCCACTGGGAAAGTGCAGTTAGAAAGTATGCCGAGGTATTATGCAAAAGTTAACTGAATCTCACGACAGAACTGTTTTAATATGATTCAGGTCCAAGTATAAATTTTCTCGCGTGACACTGTTGCACGAATCCACCCATCTAGCTGAAGTAAAAGGCTTTACCTGGAAACGTGAAAGCTACTTTCATGCTCAAACCAAGCGTTGACAGCCGATGTGCTTTTTAGCACTGCTGACAAACTGAACATCCATCCGGATTATTGCGGCCAACCATAAACAGAGTACAGTAGACTGGTGTAAACGATCTGCTTGAAAAACTGTCGATGCACACGGAAAAAGGCATCCCGTTGTGTGTTTTATTCTCCTTTTTATAGGCTACCCCCACTGTACTACTTAAAAGAACAGTAAAAGGCATGGTTAGTCGATGCTAGGAACATAGGTTGAACTTGAGATAGCGCGTGTCCTCACTCACATCGAGGTGGCACGTTCAAGTTTCGGTTTGCTCGCAATCAACAAAGATTTGAGCCGTTCAAAATTGTGTCCATTTTGTAACCTTACGCGCAAAACCCCCAAAAGCCAAATCTTTCAAATGGAAGTTTATCTACAAATGCGTAACTCGACGTGGTCCAACAGACTGCTGGAAACAACCTATAATACTATTATTTATGAACGCTTCTGCTCATATGTGACGTTTAGCATGATTCATTTATTCGAAGACGAACGGATGCCTCAGGTCGCTCGGTGAACTCTTTCTGTCATCCTTACTTCTTCCCTAATAAACTGATACTGACTAACTAAGTTACACCCCTGGAGAATGATTCACTGCGCAAACCAGCATGTACAGAGAACAAGTAGAGTATATTTGTACTACGATTTGTGGGGTAAAAGTATGGTTGAGCGCTGTTTTTAAGAGCTAGAAAAAAGAAACTGAATATTATTATGAAATTTCTGACAGAACCGTCAGTCATACCACATAGAGTTAAATCAAACTGTATTTTATATCAGCATTTTTTAAAAGCTTGTTGTTAGCTGTTTCCTCTTCCCACTTTCTGTTTATTGCACTGCGAATTGTCGTACTTAGGTAGCTGCGCTCTTAAGTCACCCTGCAACATGAAAAAAACGATCTTTTCCCCTCGACGAAACAGCGTTTCTCCCACTGCATATCTGCCGGTGAATCGGTCGCTTTGGTTGGTGTTTCTGGTTGCGGAAAGTCAACACTGCTCCAACTTGTCCAAAGGTTCTACGATCCTATCCACGCCGGTCCAGATAGTGGAGTATTCTTTGACGGGCATAATCTACGCAGTCTCGCACCTAGTTGGATTCGACGCCAAATCGGAATTGTGTCACAAGAACCGAATCTTTTCGATCTGAGCATCCGAGAAAACATTGCCTATGGCGACAATAGCAAAGAGGTATCCATGGAAGAAATCATCGAAGCCGCTCGTCAGGCCAATATCCATGACTTTGTTAGCACACTCCCTGAAGTACGTTGGTTTTGTTATTGTTCTTCCTAGCCAATGTGTGTGGTTCCAACTACTGCCTAGCATGTCAGCAGTGGTTCCCAACCCGTTCCTCCCATTACAGTTATGACAGAATGTCACTTCATCCACAGTCATCGTCTGAAAAACTCTGTGAGTAGTAAGTGAAAATAATGACCCACCAATATCACTTTTTTAGTGTTTTGCGAGTACAACTCATGAAAAGAAAAACATTTTAATCAGATTTACTCAACTGGAAGCCTCTTGTGGTTTCTTATGGTCTAGAAATGCATGTAGGATATTGGAAATGGCACAATAAGTTTTATTTTTGTCTCCAGCTCGTCCGGCTCTCTAGGTTCAACCCGTAACCGATTCCAACAAACCAGACTTGGTATGATGTGTTAGCATAGTGAAAACCGAATTTTACGACGTTTCCAAAAGAGGAACCTGATGACCCATCAAAATGATATGGCTGCTAGCACCACAGTGTCGGCTGTATACTATCTGTTGATGGTGCCTTATCCAGCCTGCGGTACGCGAACTCTAGTCAGCATTCTTGACATTTGTTGTCGCTTACTATTGTCGACAGAATTAGAAACATCTTTCTTGGCATCATTCTTATCGCTTAGTGCATACTTCTAAAAGAATTTGAACTACAACGAGTAGGTAATCCTGTAGAGTCGTGAACCTCAGTTACAAATTCCCGACTTTCCTTGATCAGTTATTTTTCTATTTTTTCCCTTACACATTGCGTAAATCAGTGAATTTGTTTACAGATGGCGGGGAAGCTGAATTTTCGTGCCCAGAAACGAATGCCAGAATGCTGCTTACAGAAGCATCAGTAATTTGTCAATCAGAGAACAGGGGGTGTTATGAAATGTAGGTATCACTCGAATACCAACTAAGAGCGGTCGCAGGAAAATATACTCTATGTTGGCTATGGGATTGTCTATCATAAGGGAAACAGGTAAATACCGGATCTACACGTCATCCGCGTTGTGGCGTTTTGAATACGGGAGCAAAGCACATCATTATCAGGTGCCACCTTTGGCATTTTGTGGCGGTTCTGCTGACTAACGATTCAATCATCTAAATCTCATGGTGTTGAGTTCGGGTGAAATGTGATGTCATCTCAAGTCACGGCAAAAATCAAGGCCTTACGGTCACTGACCACATTCATTTGCTGTATCGTGGCAGCTGTGAGCTAGATCAGTGTGCGATTCAACTGCGATTTACACAAGATAAGCCCTATTCACTGCAATCCTGAGTGTAATGTAATAAAACGACTTCGTATAAACTGTTGATTTTCATTTTGCTGACGAGACGTACATTGTCTGAAGCGTTCTCTTCGAGGGCAGCATGCACTGTTGACAGGGCTACATGCACCTTAAAACCATATATTTCATGCTATCCAACAATACTTCCTCCCGATTTTCTCGCGTTTGATGGGTCTCGCAATATTGTCACGGAATATTTAACTTCATTTTGCTGGATAATTCAACAATGAAGCAAGTGGATATTCATTCGTCATTGCTTGACATCGTTATTTGTATTGAGATGTGAGAATGACCCATAAGGTCATAGCATGGTTGGTTATTTCCTTGTGCATATTAGTAAAACGACTAGCCCTGCATATCCCGCTGATTTCGAATTTTCCTAGATGAAGAAACGTCTGGGCGTGGACAGGCGCGCTACCTTTGAAATCAACGGGGCACAGACGACTCCTTATGAACCAGGTTCGAAGTACTGTGGCTGGGGAAACTTTGTTTGATGTGCCTTAAACCTACTTGGTCCGAGCAATACGTTTACTTTAGAAGCTTCATGGCACTAAAGCAGAAACGGAATCCGATCCACATACCAACTGACAGAGCGAAGAAGATAGGCTCTGACGACGCGCTGGAACAAGAAATCCTAACCCTCACTAACATCCTGACACAAGATAAGCCCTATTCACTGCAATCCTGAGTGTAATGTAATAAAACGACTTCGTATAAACTGTTGATTTTCATTTTGCTGACGAGACGTACATTGTCTGAAGCGTTCTCTTCGAGGGCAGCATGCACTGTTGACAGGGCTACATGCACCTTAAAACCATATATTTCATGCTATCCAACAATACTTCCTATTTGAACAGTGGAGAAACCAACACCGTCACCACCACAGCTGGAAGCAAACTCATTTACATAAGCCTCTCGCTTACGAGAGATATACCGGCCAAGCTAGTGAACAGAAAACTTTTTACCAGTTTGAACATGCGCCTACGGTTACATCCAAGGGCTTATATTTTTGGTTGGCCGATTTCGACTAAACTCCACTGGAACACTCTAGTGGCTTTCTTACTTCCACGTTTTTCATAACTTACATACTGTTGGATCTGTACATTTGCACTAAAATCAGTGCGTATCACGGACAAAACGTCTTCAGCTGCTTATTGTGGAATAGGCTGTATGAGACCAGTGTTTCAACCTCTCAGTGATACACACCTAGATTTCTGCCCATGTATTCCTTCAGACACTCGAAACGTTCCCGATGGCCTTTTCGACGTCAGTGATTTTTGTAGACCAATGATATTTCCGGTTATACAGGTGCTAAGTTGATTGAAGTTGCATCATTCTTAGTGGATGAAACTAGACCTGACTCGCGCGAGTCTTGAACTTTAAGCATAAGAGGATGAACTGATTAGTTTCAAGTAGCACACAGATAGAGGTTCATGAAAACAAGGGTTCCTGTAACCATTTTGACCTAATAAAGACCCTAGCTAGATTGGCGGTTTGATCTGTTAGTTTACACAAGTCACGGCAAAAATCAAGACCTTACGGTCACTGACCACATTCTTTTGCTGTATCGCGGCAGCTGTGAGTTAGAATAGTGTGCGATTCAACTGTGATTCACACAAGATAAGCCCTATTCACTGCAATCCTGAGTGTAATGTAATAAAACGACTTCGTATAAACTATTGCTTTTCATTTTGCTGACGAGACTTACATTGTCTGAAGCGTTCTCTTCGAGAGCAGCATGCATCATTGACAGGGCTACATGCATCTTAAAACCATATCTTTCATGCAATCCAACAATACTTCGTCCCGATTTTCTCGCGTTTGATGGGTCTCGCAATATTGTCACGGAATATTTAACTTCATTTTGCTGGATAATTCAACAATGAAGCAAGTGGATATTCATTCGTCATTGCTTGACATCGTTATTTGTATTGAGATGTGAGAATGACCCATAAGGTCATAGCATGGCTGGTTATTTCCTTGTGCATATTAGTAAAACGACTAGCCCTGCATATCCCGCTGATTTCGAATTTTCCTAGATGAAGAAACGTATGTTGAGCCAAATTACTCAGCCTGACTGTCGTTGAG